GTTTTCTGACAGCAGGACCTTGAGAACTATGAGGCCCAGATTGCTGCAGGCCACTCAGGACTAACACCTCCCAAGTTGTCCTGTGCCTCACTTCCCTTTCTAGGAATGCTGTCAGGACACACTGTCTTTGCAGATCACAGAATCTGTTCTCATGCTGCCAGAAGCCTTGTGTGTAAATACTCTCCTCTTCTCTTTCTTTGTCTCATTCTTTCTCTAATGAAGCAGCTACCTTTAAGAAGTCTGAAAACATCTTCTCACCATGAGCATTTCTCCCCCATTGCTTCCTTTGCATAGTTCTTATTTACCCTGGTTCACTGGCATAAGGTATGCAGTCCTGAGGACTCTGATCTGAAGCTCAGTTGTGCCCCCACTGGTCGCTATATGAACACAGTGAAAGGCCCCTGAAGTATCACTGCTGTGACCCTCTGTGTGGGTGCACTGGTTGGTAAACAGCGTGTGTGTATTCAAAGTCAGGGAATAATAATGGTTTCATTAAAATGAGGTGCCCACAGCGAACCGAGCTCCCTCTGCTCAGATTGTCATGGATCTTCCTGACCTTTGACTATGGTAGAGCCGAGGCTAGCCCCCACCTTGTGTCCTGTGAGCTATAGGTAAAGACAGGAGTGGGGTTGGTTTGTTGTCCATAGGCTCTGCCACAAGCAGGAATGCAGGCTGCTTCTACATAGCAATTCCACATTCGCTGTCCTTTAATTACTTCAGATCCATCAAGGTGTGTGAGAACAATCTTTCTGACTTAAAGTGAGTTGAGATTTGAACATCACACACATGACATCTTTATAGCCACACTTAGACTAGTGTGTGACTCAGTAACTGCAGACCATAGTGCAGCAGGTTTATGCTTAAAAATGAACTTTTGCAAGGTGCCTTCATATTTGCCAATAGACACTGGTTCTTAGGGCACTAATATACTTGGTAATGTGTGTCCTCTGAGAGTCAAACACCAAAGCTATATTTATTTGTGTTCATTTATAAAGAAAAAAATGTATCCTTTCAAAGCACCACAGAGGGAGGAAGGTGTGGAGGAATTGTGAACATAGAATGGGACACTAACGGCTGAAGTAGAGGCATGGGACCTTGGAATATTTGACAGTGTTTGTGTTTCCCAGATTGTTTTTGGCCAGAGGGCTGAATTAGTTGTCCTGGGCAAGGAGATGACCATCAGAATGATGCTCCCCATTCTTAGCTCTGTCCTGGCTAAACTCAGTCTTCAGCCGGGAAGGGCATCAGTATGTGTGTTAAGGGTACATGCCTACCACAGCGCTATTGCCCCCATTGTCCATATCAGGCCCCTAACGTTCACTTTTCATGATGTCTTATTCGTGATGGAGAGGCGTCAAGGAGTTGCCATGTCAGAGAATCACTGGTAAACTCAAAACTGACAGAGGGGCCATGCCCAGGCCTGTGTGCTGCCCATCATCACAACTGTGAACTCTG